AATTTACATGAATGAATATTAAAGGTAAAGCACACATGATATTGAGATAATTTTACAAATATTTAATGGACTTGTATGTGCCTCAGGTTTAGAAGAGGTCATCGTGGGGGGCGGAGTCTTGCATCCCATTTAATATGGCGTTTTGGCCTTTTGTCACTTCATTTAACCGTTTTTAAGAGTAGTTTCTGTCATTATTGATCTAATTTTGCATTTTTGTGTTCCATTTGTAGGTACCGTCAAGGATCTCAAGTCCATTTTAGAGGGCGGAGTTGACGCCTTGTCTTCAAATTTACATGAATGAACATTAAAGGTAAAGCACACATGATATTGAGATAATTTTACAAATATTTAATGGACTTGTATGTGCCTCAGGTTTAGAAGAGGTCATCGTTGGGGGCGGAGTCATGCATCCCATCTAATATGGCGTTTTGGCCTTTTGTCACTTCATTTAACAGTTTTTAAGAGTAGTTTCCATCATTATGGATCTAATTTTGCATTTTTGTGTTCCATTTGTACTGTATGTACCGTCAAGGATCTCAAGTCCATTTTAGAGGGCGGAGTTGACGCCTTGTCTTCAAATTTACATGAATGAACATTAAAGGTATAACACACATGATATTGAGATAACTTTACAAATATTTAATGGACTTGTATGTGCCGCTCGTTGAGAAGAGGTCATCATGGGGGGTGGAGTCACTTACTGATTCAGAGAGAGAGGATAGGGTAAGCAAGTCAAAAGACTCATACTGAGGAATAAGGGGATCAGGATTGCAGGTATGGAGGGAAACAGAAAGTTTAGAGAGAGAGAAGCATGATCGAACGAGGGTAGTCTCCATCTGAGCATCTCTGAGAGAAGGGAGGAGAGACAGGGTGTGACTAATTCTAGAAATAGTGCTGGAGAGGACAGAGGAGGTGTAGGAGGAGGGGCCAATAGGGAAACCTAAAGGAACAAAACCACCTGTGGAGATAGGAATTTCTGGAGGTAAAGGGTTAGCTGGAAGGACTAGGTTCGAAGGGAGGGAAAGAAGACATTTAGCCTGTTAAGATAAAGTCCCATAGGAGGACCCATAGAGTCAATAATGCTCAGGGCCTGTTGGAGACGATTAATGTCCCCAGATAAGATACCATTATTGTTATTATTATTATGAGAGTGAGAAAGGAATATTATTATTATTTTTAGTTTTATTTATTATTATTATTATTATTATTATTATTATTATTATTAGTATTATTTATTATTATCATTATTTTTATTTGTTATTATTATTATTATTATTATTATTTTATTATTATTATTATTATTTTATTATTAT